TGTTTTCCCAATTTTATGATATATAATTTGTTTAAAGGGCTCTTTACTCAGTGAAAGGGACTATAATTAGGTATTGTGGCAAGTTGGACCACAAGTTTATGAGGTTTAGCATGATGTCCAACAAGTTGATCCTTAAGAAATTTTGTATATACAACAATTGAAATTCTTCGTACAAAGGGATAAAAAACAATTAACACTACTTACAAATACACTAATGCCTCCTCCTAATGTTCTTTTAACTCCTAGCCCATTCATTACAAAACCCTGATTATCTTCCATCATTCTGAGAGGAGAGGATGATATGAGGTCCAAGTGTACAGTTACAATGTTGTATACTAATATTAGCATAATAGGATTTTAATAGTCATTAAATTGGTTTCAATCCAGACCACTCACTTTTGCATATAAGTTAAGATTTTTGGGCTAATTGATATGGACATTTCTGTTTCCATTTTTATATTCCATGCACTCACATTTTTTAAATAAAAGTTTTATGCAATTTGTGTTGCCAAATTATTTTATTCCTTTTTCTTATTTTAAAATAATCATATTTCAAATATCTATCTTAAAAGAATTGCAGTTGAAAATTAACCATATTTCACTTAAATCCTTATAAGGATACTATAGGTGGAGATATAGTAAAATTTAGTTTCATTAGATTTAACTAGATGACTGAGTAGAAAATCAAATTGCTATACTAGAAGTTTGAAATAGATACTCCCTCAAACCTATCAAATTCATGCCAAACTATCCTTGATAGACTTGAATGATACTTCCTTATTGAGCTTCCATTCCAGATGTTTGGACGATCAATCATGCTTTTGTAGAATTGTCACCAAGAACTGCTTCCCCTGGGTGATGATATTGCAAGCATTTGCCACAAATGGTCATGTCTATGAAGTGGAACATCTCTTCTTCAAAATCCTGCAAACCAATCTTGTTGTTTAGAACGCAATGATAACTGCTCATCACAAACAATGCTGGCACACTCACTTTATGAATCAATGCCAGCATGGAACCTCATTTCTTCTACTACAATTCTTACTCCACTTGCTTGTTCTGGGCATTTGGATAATAGGTTTTCATTCGATGGAGGAACGTGATCTCATTGCCTAGAACACAAAGCTCGCTGCCTATACACACAGTGACAATATGGACGAACTCACTGCTATCCCCCAGCAGATGCCAGAACTTGATATTGTCTTGCGGAACACAATTCTGTCAGTACGCACGATCTGGGGATTCTCACACCACAGAACAAATCTCCCATCGCATGACTGAAGCTGATCTTGTCTCCAGCACCACAATGCTTAAATTTTATGCAGAGAGCCACGAGACAGATCAAGCCCAACAAGTCTCTGATGGATTGCCACACTGCAATGACATCTCCTGGACAGTGATGATATAGCGCTGCAAGGACCTTAACCCATGCTTTGATCTCTTTAACAAAGCCAGCAGCAGTGATGTGGGAAGTTATGCTATGGGTATATACCAAGGCCGGGTATCTGGAAATGGCTAAACAATTTTTTTATTCCATGCCCGCTACAACCCTCATGCCAGCATATGTTCAATAAAACCATCGCTTGAAGCGTCATGATCCACGGTATGCCATGAAGGTCGCGCGAGTGATGCTTGGCGCCTATGCGAGCGATGGGCTCTTGGATGCGGCAAAAGGCTTCTTCGATTCCGAGCACGGTGATGACGGCCGAGTAATTTCGCATTTGTTGAAAATACAGGGGCATCGTGAGAATCGCGACCTCTCGCACCCAAAACGAGAATCATACCCATTAAGGACTAACGCCCCTTAAATATTTCAGTCATCGCTCCAGGCACGGCCCAGGACAAAATCAATAGACTGAAATCTGTGGATGTCACGGTTATAGAATCGCCAGCCAATATTGGTGAAGCAATGCACCAGGAATTTAAGAAGCGAAACCAACACGCTACTTTTACTTGTTCTCCATTTTGATGTACTCTCTTACCGTGAAAGCTTTTAATCACAGGAGTGATTCTTACAGTCAATGGTGGACGCTCTCCACACGGATTGGAGAGAAGTAACTGTTGCTCTTGTTCCCAGAGACATGGGAGAGGATCTCTTGAATCATGTTGTTTGTTTTGTTTGTGCAATCCTTGGCATGGATTTCCTTGGACATGTCCCGGCTCATGCTCGCACTCCTCCCATCAAACATATACTTGAACAGCGTGCACAAGCTTCCACCTTCCTTAATCTGGACTCCATACCAGATCTTGTCTCCAACACATCTAGTTGAGTGGCACAAGTCCTCAAGTCGCCTCATCATGTGGCATCTCGTCCCACCAATCACCACCAAGAGCTGGGCATTCCCTGGGGCACAATCGTTGCAGTCTCTGTTGCAGAGCTCTTGGGTGAGGAGGTTGTGAAGCTCTTGAGCTCCAGCGCAATGGAGGTAGTCTGGTGTCAGTAGCTTGGATGCTGATTGTGGCCAAAAGTCATGGAAATTGCTGTGGGAAGTGATAATTAACCCATCAATCTTGTATACTACCTTGCTGTTCGGATTTTTCTTGGGGACCACGGGAGGCTCCTCCGGGAACTCACGCCTTCTCTTTGGAACACTGGCCTTGGTATCAACTTGTCTTTCCTTGTCTCGCTGCCTCTTCTTTCCTTTCTTGATTGCGTCCATCGCTGCCACAGCACTAGCCTTCTTGTCCACGCTCTCGATCACTGCCATTAAACCCTGATTGTGTGAATCCTAAAGGGCCCTTTTATATGGTAACAAAAAATGCAATCAAATCAAAACCTAGTACGGACCGCGAATATTTTATTGATCGTTTATGAGAATCAAATGAGTCCTAGTTCTTCCTCTTCGCGACCTCGATCTTTCCGTTCCAAGCTTGACCGCGCCCACTCCAGCGATTGCGAGGTGAGGAGATTCCTTGCGTCGCTCAAGGAATGCTCGCGATCCCGGGATCTGGATTGGGGTAAGCAAATCCACGCCGAGGCGGAGTGCTGCGGCCTCGATTCCAATGCGTTCGTGGCGAGCAGCCTGGTGAATCTCTATGGCAAGTGCGGCTGCATGGACGAGGCGCGCAGGGCTTTCGACCGGATGAATTTCCCCGACCTCGTCGCGTGGAATTCTCTCATTCTGGGCTATGCCGTGAATGGGCATGGCAGGGTTGCGCTCCAGCTCTTCCTGGACATGGAATCGCGGGGCTTGCAAGGGAATTCTGTCACGTTTATTGGATTGCTCAAGGCCTGCGCGAGCCTCGCAGAGAAGGAGAATGGGAAGGTTTTAGAAGATCTAGAGCTCGTCGTGAAGTTTTCTTCTCTTGAGAGAGGAATGGCTCTTCACTCCCTTGCCACTGCAAGGGAAATCGACACAAACGCTTTGGTAGCTAGCAGCCTGGTGGAAATGTATGCTCGGTGTGGAAGCGTGGTGGATGCGTGGAAGGTTTTTCATGGAGCTCCAAAGCGTGACGTAGTTCTATGGACTTCTTTGATGCAGGGACTTGTAGAGAATGGGCAGAGCGAGGTGGTGCTTGAGCTCTTCGTGGAAATGGAACGAGAAGGCAGTGGAGCAAATGCCAGAACCTTTGTTGCGGTGTTCCAGGCCATCACTTCTTTAGCAAAGAGGGAACGAGGAGAAGAAACTAGCCATGGAAGGATACTCAAGCTGAAGTCTCTGGAAAGAGGTATGGCTTTTCACGCGCAAGCCTTGCGAATTACTAGCCATCGCTTGGATATCTTTCTTCACAGCTGCTTGATCCAAATGTACGCGGCTTGTGGCAGCATGGGCGATGCTCTTGGAGTCTTTAGCACCATTTTCCAGCCAAATCAAGTCTGCTGGACGGCATTGATGCTCGGGTATGTTGAAAACAGCCAGGCCGAAACAGCGCTACATTTTTTCTTGCTAATGCAGCTCGAGGGATGTTCTCCAGACGTGTGGACGCTCGTTTGCGTGCTCAAAGCTTGTGGAAGCTCAGTAGCCTTGAGGCTTGGCCGGATACTTCACGAAGAGATCACGAGCTTGGGGTTCCAGTTCCAGGGAGCCGTGATCTCTTCGTTGGTGGATTTCTACAGCAGATGTGGGAGCATGGACGAAGCGGAGCTGGTTTTCAACTCGGTCTCGAGGAAGGATGCTGTGACCTGGAGCTCACTTATCGCGGGCTACAGCCGCCAGGGAGACAACGATCGAGTGATCCAGCTCTTTGAGAAGATGTGTGACGAGGGTGTCAAGCCGGACGGTGTAACTTATGTCTCGGTGCTCGCGACTTGCAGCCGGGCTGGGATGATCGAGCAAGGCAAGAAATTTTTCCAGGAGATGACGTCTAGGTGTGGATTAGATCCGGGCATTGAGCACTACCACTGCATGATCGACATGCTGGGACGAGCAAAGCAGCTCGAGGAAGCTCTGGAGATGGTGGAAGCTATGCCGTTCGAAGCCACAATGGTCACTTGGACGAGTTTGCTGGCTGCTTGCTCGAAGTGGAAGAATGGGAGAGTGGAGAAGATTGCTTGTGACAACGTCGTCTCTCTCCTGCGGAAGATTTCTCCATAGCTCATTACACGGGCTTTTTAAAAGAGATCACGTCGATCTCAATGATAGCTTATGGTCATCGCGATTCGATGGATCTCTGCAAAGGAAGACAATTCCAAAAGCTGCGGGCAGACGGATGATCCCGACCTCTCGCGTTACAAAAGATAGAAAATGTATATATGCGAGAAGAACTGCTAAAATGCAATTGTGCATTATATCTTTAGCTTAATTTTTGTTTGATGGCTTAGTTGAAATATTTTTCTTGACAAATTGTATAAAATTTAAACTATTTGTTTTTCCTCTTCAAGCCTAACTTTTTATAAAAGCTTTTGTTGCAAAATGCTTTTTCTTATTTAAAATAACCATCCTTCACTAAAAGTTGCATTTGAATGTTAACCTATAAGGGGGCATATTTGCAAGTAGATATATGGCAAAATTTCTTTTGGTTGATAATGATCTAACCAGATGACTGAGCAGAAAAGCAAATTACTATGCCAGGAGCTTGAAACAGCTATCCGCTCTTGTCACACCCTCCCTCAAGCCCATCAAATTCATGCGAAAATAGACTTGAATGACACTTCCTCATTGATCTTTCTTTCTAATATTTCCATCCAGATGTTTGGACGATGCGGCAGCATCAGTCATGCTTACCAAATCTTTTGCAGAATTGTCACCAAAGACTGCTTCTCCTGGGTGATGATGTTGCAAGCATTTGCCACAAATGGTCATCTCCATGAAGCGGAACATCTCTTTTTCAAAATCCCGCAAACCAACCTTGTTGTTTGGAACGCAATGATAGCTGCTTACATCACAAACAACGCTCTTTTCAAGGCACAGTCACTTTATGAATCAATGCCAGAATGGAATCTCATTTCTTCTACCACAATTCTTACTGCACTTGCTTGTTCTGGGGATTTGGAGAAAGCAAAGGTAGTTTTTGATTCGATGGAGGAACGCGATCTCATCGCCTGGAACGCAATGCTCGCTGCCTATACACACAGTGACAATATTGACGAACTCACCGCTATCGCCCAGCAGATGCCAGAACTTGATATTGTCTCGTGGAACACAATTCTGTCAGCATACGCCCGATCTGGGGATTCTCACACAACAGCACAAATCTTCCATCGCATGACTGAAGTTGATCTTGTTTCCTGCACCACAATGCTCAAATCTTATGCAGAGAGCGGCCAAATTGGTCAAGCCCAACATGTCTTTGATGGATTGCCACACCGCGATGCCACCTCTTGGACAGTGATGATCGAAGCATATAGTGCTGCAGGACGCTTAACAAACTCTGTTGATCTCTTTAACAAAGCCAACAGCAAGGATATAGTGACGTGGAACGCCATGCTTTCAATATATGCCCAGTCCGGGCATCTGGAACAGTCAAAGCACTTTTTTGATTCCATGCCTCTACAAGATGCCGCTACGTGGAATACCCTCTTGGCAGCATATGCTGAACGCGGGCATTTGATCTATGCTCAAGATCTGTTCCATAAGATGCCTTTCACAGATTCCATCACTTGGAGCATCATGATACACGGGTATGCCATGAACGGGCAAATGGCGGAAGCAAAGAGCTTGTTTAGCACTTCTCTGATTCGATTCCAGGTCGCGCGAGTGATGCTTGGCGCCTATGCGAGCAATGGGCTCTTGGACGAGGCAAAGGGCTTCTTCGATTCCATGCCGGAGAGAGATGGAGAGACGAGCGCGGCGATGGCGGCGGCCATGGCACAGGGCGGCCGATTCAACGACGCGGCGGCGTTCTTCCACGAGGCTAAGATTGAAGGATTCAAGCCCGGTGCTATTTCTTTCGCGTGCGCCATCGTGGGCTGTAGCTACAGGGGCGACTTGGAAGCTGGGATCCAGTGCTTCAATTCGATGATCGCAGATTTCGGGATCCGGCCCAACAAGCAGCACTACTGCTGTGTGATCGATTTGCTGGGTCGCGCTGGTCATCTGGAAGCCGCGGAGGAGCTCATCGCCAACATGCCCTTCGTTCCCGATCACTCCGACTGGAAATGCCTGCTCGCGGCGTGCCGATTCCAGGGCGGCGGTGGCGATGCCCGAGAGACCGCGGCTCTCTCCGCCGCTCGGGAGGATCCACACGACCCAGCGCCGTATGTATTGCTCGCCAATCCATAGTACTTTCAAAGAGATAGAAGAAGAGCGAATATACTTGTTTGGTGGCAAATATTGCTTTCAGCCCTAATAAAAGGAATAGACAGGATATTCCAAACTGTTAGCCTGGAGGCGAGAAAATAGGGAGGGTTAAACGCAAAGAGAAAGGGGGTGATAACATCGCCATGGATCAGGGCAGCGGCGGCGGCGAGGCGAGCGACGAGAAGCTGGCTCACTTCCAGAGCTTGACGGGCATGGAGGACATGGCCGTGTGCACGCGCATTCTAGAGCGCCATGGCTGGGATCTGGACTCGGCGGTCACGGCGGCGGTGTCGGACGATTCGCACAGCCATGCCCGGGAGAATTCTCGCCAAAATCTCCAGCCGCAGCGCCTCAGTCCCAGGTACTCGCCCTCTCTGCCCCATCGCAACAGTGGCACAGCTCCACCGCTAGGGCTCGCGCAATTGGCCACGACGAGCGGCGACGAGGACATGCTCGTGGATCACCAGCCCCGCCCGGGGCCGATTCCCCCTGGCAACGACGCCGCCGCCACTAACAGCGGGAATCTGGTGTGGAAGATCGTCACGCTCCCCTTCTCGATCGTTCGTGGGGGGCTTTTCATGGTTTCCGGCGCCATGGGGCTTGGTGTTTGGGTGGCTGGATCGCTCCTTTCGTACTCTCTAGGGGCTCTTGGCATTGGCAACCAGCAAGGTGGTGGTGGTGGTGGTGGAAGATTAACCGAGGCGAGAGATCGTTTCCTTCCAGTTCCTACTGCCGGAGCTGTCCAGGCAATCCAGTTCATCCGGAGCTTTGAGCAAGAGTATGGGAGCGTCCGCCCGGACTTCCAGGCTCTCAGCTTCATGGAGGCGCTGCGGCGGTCGACGGAGGGGTTTAAGTTCCTGTTCGTCTACTTGCACTCGCCGGAGCACGTCGACACGCCTGCGTTTTGCCAGGCTACGCTCTGCTCGGAGCCGGTCAGCCAGTTCTTGAGCCAGAACTTCGTCGTGTGGGGGGCGGACGTGAGGAACACCGAGGGGTTCCAGATGTTTAACAGCTTGAAGGCGTCGACGTTTCCCTTCTGCGCGGTCGTCATGGCTTCTTCCAACCAACGGATAGCTCTCTTGCAACAGGTTCTTCTCTCCTGTTTGTTTTCGCTTTTGTGGTGGATTTTTCATGGTTTTCTTTGCTTTCGTTTCCTTTCTTTCAGGTGGAAGGATTCAAATCTCCAGAGACACTGCTCTCACTGCTGCAAAGAGTTTTGGAGGAGCAAGGTGCCGCTTTGGTGGCGATGCGCGTCGAGGACGAGGAGAGAAGGCGCAACAGGCAATTGCGCGAGGAGCAAGACGCAGCATATCAGGCCGCCTTGCTAGCAGACCAGGTGATCCTTCTTTCCCGCTCGTCCTTTTCTTAAAAGCGCTGCTTTCATTCGCAGGAACGGGAGAGGAAAAGAGTGGAAGAAGCCGAGAGGGTGGCCAGGGAGGCCGCCGAGTCGGAGAGGCAAATGCGAGAGAAAGAGCTTGCGGCGCAAAGAGCTGCGCAGGTGGCCGCCGAGAAGCAAGCGGCCATGGAGAAGCTTCGAAAGGAGAAGGCCCTGGCCCTGGGAGCCGAGCCGGAGAGAGGCCCACAAGTCACACAGGTTAGTCTTGCCCAATTCCCACAGCTTGTTTGTGTCAATCACCTTCATCTCTTTACTTTCTTCGTAGCTTGTTTCGATCATCTCTTTGCTTCCTTCCTTCTAGCTTGTTTCAACCATCCCTTTGCTTCTTTCGTGGAAATGTTTTGACGTGTTGGTGTTGTTGGTTTGATAGGTGCTAGTTCGGTTTCCAAATGGTGAACGCAAAGAGCGAAGGTTTAGCTGCACGTCCGCCGTGCAGTGTGTGTACGATTTCGTGGACTCTCTGGGCAGCCTTGGAGATGCTCGCTACAGTCTCGTGTCCAATTTTCCCAGGAAGGTGTACGGCGCGGACAAGCTCCACATGTCCTTGGCCGACGCAGGGCTCCACCCGCACGCCAGCCTTTTTGTCCAGGTGGACACTCCATAGCTTTTCTTGTGTGTAGGAGAGGAAGAGAGAGAGGAAGAGAGAGAGAGAGCGGGAGCTACTCTTATCATATTTAGACTCTTTCCAATAACACTTTTGTACTTTCTGGGGATGGAGAAATGGTCAACTTGTACAAATTTTAATTAATACTACCACTGTAAAGTTGACAAAGAAGATTCCTTTAAATACTAAATTTTAACTGATTTTTAAAAAACAAATTAAAAGAAAATTACTATAGTATTGTTTTTGGTTTTGAAGTCTTTTGCGCGGTCAAGCACGAGATTGTGCAGTGGAAGACTGGTGTTGACGTGAGAAGTTTCCAAGGGAAAAGCGTAAATCGACCGGCAAAGTTGCCACTTCGGTTGGGCTACTCTAGAGCTGTGCTAGAAAGCACTTCTTGTCGCAATGCTCGATCAATGGAGAGCTTCCAGCGCGCCATCGATGCGCTCGACGCCCTTCTCACGGCGCCTGGATCTCTTGCGCCCCTCGAGTCCCATGTCCAGATCACTTCACAGCATCTCAGGGTATAAAACGCAGTTTTTCGGGAGTGCTTTCAAGCAAACCATTGAACTTTTGCTGTGTGCTAGCATTTGGATTTGGAAGAACCACTGTCCGAGCTCAGTGTCATTCATGTGGCCGGGACCAAAGGCAAAGTAGAATGGATCATAAATTCCTAGTTTTTCTTTCCCAACGCTCTCGTTGTGAATTTAGGGGTCGACATGCGCTTTCGTGGAGGAGATACTGAGAGCTTCCGGGTTCCGGACGGGACTTTTCACTTCACCGCATCTACTGGACGTTAGAGAACGATTTCGTTTCGATGGGTACTGCATCGTTTTTTATTTGTTCCGACTTGTTTCTAAGTGGCGCTTATGCCAGGCAACCAGTCTCGCAGGAGCTCTTTGCCAAATACTTTTGGTGGTGCTGGGAACGTCTACAGGTCTGGATTAAGCTACAGTTCACTTCTAAAACTGCGATTATCAGGCTCTCCCAGGAGATAGTTTCCACAGTGGAGTTTCGATAGCGCGGGTTTCGAGGTTTCTCACTGTTCTAGCATTCAAGATGTTTATCTCCGAGAAGGTATCATCGTTGTCGGTTTCTTCTTCTTCTTCTGCTCTAGTCATGGGCTTATTATTTCTTGTATTTTGTAGGTGGATGTTGCAATTATAGAAGTTGGTCTTGGTGGTCGATACGACACCACCAACGTCGTAATACCTTCGCCTTTCATTCTTGGGAAAGAACAGTGTCTAACGAATTCTTGTGATTTTGATTCATAGGTGAAATCCCCGGTTGTCTGCGGAGTAACTTCTCTTGGTTACGATCATATGGAAGTCCTGGGTAGGCTTTTCTAACACAAAAGTTTTTGATATTTAACACACTGGTGCAGGAAGTACTCTTGGAGAAATCGCTTCCCAAAAGGCTGGAATTTTCAAGGTACTTCAAAAAGTTTGTGAAGTTTCTAAATTCCACTGTAGGCAGGTGTTCCAGCCATAACCGTGCCACAGGCGAGTGAAGCTTTAGATTCTTTGCAAAAGCGAGCAAAGGAACTCAATGTAATGACACTTTTTGTTCTTCCGATATTCTCTAATGTTGCTGGACAGATTTGCTTGGAAGTGGCAGCCCCTTTGACAGCATATGGCCTTGGAGACTTAGAACTGGGGCTCAAAGGCGAGCATCAGCGCGTAAACGCTGCACTCGCCGTAGCTCTTTGCAAACGCTGGGCCGGGAGTTCCGGACACAACGAGCACAAACTTCTCGTAGAAAATGTCCATCGAGACTCTTCCGTTCTTTAAAGGCAAACTTACAGTTTCTGTTTTTCTAAATCGCAGGCTATCGAGCATGCTCGTCTGCCTGATTCTTACATCACTGGCCTCGTCCAAGCTCGCTGGGAAGGAAGAGCACAAGTCATCCATGACAAGCTTTGCAGCAACCTTAGCTTTTACATCGATGGAGCTCACAGCCCCGAGAGCATGGAAGTTTGCGGCAAATGGTTCTCTTCAGCGTCCAAAGCTGATGCTTCTCCTTGTGGAGATCAGTGCAAGGTTTGTGAGAAACTCTCTCATTTTGACGATCTCTCGCTCTTCGCTCGCTACCGCACAGATTCTTCTTTTCAACTGCATGCCCAAGCGTGATCCACAGCTTCTCTTGCCACGCCTGAAGGAAGCCTGTGCTCGGGAGGAATCACCAAGTCAGCTGGCTCTCTTTGTGCCACCATACTCGAGCAGCTTCTCGGTGAGGCACATTTGCACCGGGAGAGCTGACACTTCCTGGCAGGAGATCTTGTGGCGGCACTGGGAAGCACTGGAAGCAAGCAAAGATGATCACTGCTTCATCAACTCCAGCGAAAGCTCCAGCGTCGTCCAACAGCTGAAAGACGACGAAGGCTTTTCTCGAGACACGAGTTTGATGATTGGATCCTCCAGCGCAGTGTTGCCTTCGCTGCCATCATCGATACAATGGCTACAGCGTATTGCAAAAGGCTATCCTCAGCTACACTTGCAGGTACTCCAACTTTTTAGTCTAATTGTTCCTTTTTCTTTCTTCCCTTTCATTCCATAGCGTGTAATCTTCCAGGTTCTTGTCACTGGCTCTTTGCACTTGGTCGGAGATGTCCTAAAACTTATCAAGTATACTTGATAAGCTATGCATACTCGTAGTTTGCTTAGTGTAATCATGTTAATAACCACGTGATTTTTATTGGCGACATAATTCTTAATCTCGCCATCATCCAAATGTATGGCCATAACCAAGATAGCAACGACTAGACGTTCAACCTGGATGTAGATTAAGAATTCCCAACCAGCGGAGCTGACAAGGCTGCTTCTTAGTTTCTGTGATACGACCAGCTATGGCCCATCCTATATTCTCGATTACTCTGGTCAGTACCAATGCCATACAGATCGTGGCACCACCAAGTATTTTCAGTATGAGTTCCATGAGCAGGACCCCAATTGTTAAAAAAGCTTGTACTGTGATAAGAAAAAAACTGAGGTTCATAGGTGTTTCAACCTAATCCTTTCCCAAAGTGTTCTAAGAGAAAGTTTTCCTTTGTAAAAGATGTTAAAAAGCTTGTACTATGATATGAAAAAAACTGATGTTCACAGTTTTGATTTTATGCAATGAGAGAGTTCCACTGGAAATTTGATTGAGAGCATCCAATCCAAAGTGTTCTAGAGAAAATTGCCTTTGTAAAAGATTCAAATTGAAGCTTTGTTCTTTTTGTCTTGAGAATGTATGTCACGACATGGGAAGTCTGGATTTATCGATGACCTGGTATTCATTGGGATCTTGATAGATACACTTTGTCACAAGATCTTCAAAGCATTTTGACGAGGGTGCTTCAGCTTCTCAGTTGCAAGAGGTTGAGAGATTAACCGGCTGTGGTTCACAGGAGTTTTGATTTTATTAGATTGCCAATTTTTACTTCAATCCATTATCCTGCAAGAATGTCTTCACCTGGACCATCCTCATCATCGTTCACACCCACAACAGCCTCTTCTTAACCCCATTTCTGTGTGTGACATGTGAGCAAACATTGATGCTTTCTTTTAGATGACATAGATATTGTATGATAGAGGTTAGTGATATGAACATTCAGGTAGGCAATAAAATCAAAACTCTTGTGAACCTTAGTTTTCTTCTTATCACAGTACAAGCTTTTTTAACAAGAGGCATCTATAGTTTTGGAGTCCTACTCATGGAACTCATACTCAAAGTACTCACGATCACAGCATGATAATGATAAAGTAGAAAGGTTAGCGAAGAAAGTAAACAATGCTCATGATACTGGTAGAGGATCAACTCTATCACTTATTTGAACTTTAAGGGATTTTAAACCTTTTGGGTTCAAGTGATAGAGGTTAAAAGATTAACCAACTGGGTTCATAGGAGTTTTGATTTTATTGCTTACCTGAATGTTTGTATCAATAGCCCTTATCAATGTTAGCCTTTATCCCTTCCATCAAAGTTTATTTTTAATTTTTATGCTATTGGAAATTTAAATTTTTTTGGAAAAAAAACATAAAAGGAAAACATTAAGGAGGTTAGAACAATATAGATACTTGTGGCCAACTTCACAAATGAAACTTCCTTAAAGTAGCTATTGAACATTGCATTAGTCAAATAAGCCCTTGGCCATTGAATAAGTCAATGAGTCAATGTGGAGTTTGATAGTATATTGCAAGCATGCAAGTGAGGAATGGCAACAACTCAAACTCATGCTTAGTAGCAATAATCTCTAAAGAAGGTGGTAGAATATAAGTAGAATCCGAAATAAATGTAATATGGTTCTAATAAAGAAACATGAAACACCAAATAAACAGCTATGGTAGAGAAAGATTAAGCCAATAAGTCATCTCAAATTTTTTCTTTAATGTGATTATAAGTATTAAAAGTTATTTATATTCTTCTCATTTAAATGTAGAAGAGCTTCACAGAGATTTATATTATCTCTTTTAAATATTCTAATATTCCAAATTGTTGGTATTAATAGTTCCTTATGTTAGTCTCTTATTTGCTATATGTAACTTTGATCTTAAAGCACCTTTAAATTGATATTTATTCATCTATTTGTGATTGTAATTTGAGAAAAGCCTCAGTAAGAATCAAACTTTAAATGTCTAGTACAATTTGAGATTAATAGGTTTCTATATTAGCTTCAATAAAATTAAGAGTCCCTATAAACTTAGGGATTTAAGTGTACTCAAAGTGTTCATTATAAATCCTTTCCTTTTTTCTTCATTGCTTTAGTATTTTATTAATGGTTTTATCATCCTTTCTTCTTTCAATGATAAACTCCTTATAAAACTAATAAAATAAATAATGTATTGATAAAAATAAAAAAAATTATGCCCCTTAAAGCTTAGTAATGGTGAATATACTCTTAATAAATATAAAGAAATGACAAATCCCCCCCCCCCCCCCCTCCTTTTTATATAGAAATTTGCAACTAATTTAGAAGTATGAACAAGATGATAAAAAAACTCTCAACTATGATCACTATAAGATCCAAGCCAATTAACCAAATAATAAAGTTTGTGATACCAGTATTTTGAGTCAAGAATGACAACAACCTCAAACTCATGCTTGCCAATAATAATATCTAGAGAAGGTGGTGGTGGAATATGAGCAGGATTAGAAGGGATGTGATAAGGTTTTAATAAAAATTATGAAACATAAAAAAATATAACTAATAAGGATAAAGGCCATAGTTCATAAGGACTAGAGAGAGATGCATTGAAGAATGAAATTATTATAAATAAGGAGAAGATATTGCTCAAGAGTTTGAATAAAATGCTTTGTTTACTCACTAGTCTAAGGATGGTGAAAAGTCAATAATTTACTTTTGACATAGATAAGGAAATAAATTTGTGCTAAAAGGTCAAAACAAATTGAGACCTTTAATCATAAATAATATTATCTAAAAATCCATGAAAGCTTAAAATCTTCTTGTCAATAAATTTAGTTAGATCTTCTCTATCTTAAGATGGTAATAAATGTGTCAGTTTAGAAAATTGATGGACTATAACAAAAAAATTATTAACAAAGACAATTGAGATTAGTAATAAATCCATAAAAATCAATTTCTAATGCATTGGAGCAAGAGGAGTTAAAAAAGACTATATGGAAGATGTCAAGGCATCTTAATTTATTTATAAATATCACAAATATGTATAAATTGTTTAAATATATGTATGCATATAGGGGCCATCAAAATTGTTGTTGAACTAATTTAAGTGCTATGCTATTAGAGGGTCATAGAATACTTAGATTATACACAATTGCATTTTGCAATTAAGTAGATATAACTGAGTATAATAATGAAGAAATCTATAACAAAATTAAAGAAATTAATAATCACTAAGATTGAAGAAACACTAAAGAACAAAATTGCCAAGCTTCATAAACAAATGAATCAATAGTTTAAATTGCTTCAATTTATAATTTAAGGGAGTGATCAAAAGGAACAAAATATTATGTGAGGGAATTGATTTTAAATTAAGAAGAATTAATGAAAATTTAATGCTAGAGGTTAAATACAAAGTTTTAAAATGAAGGTGTAAGATAACTGCATTGAGTAACAGCATCAAGGTTTTTAATTTACTTTTTTAAAATGATGTACAATTATAAACCAAAAATAAAATAATGGTTATGATCACTGAGTTTAATACTGAGAACACATACCAAGGACCAATATTAGAAGTTTTTGCAATCATTATATAGTAGTCATGTGTAAAAATGATACCAAGCTTCAAAAGGGTTTATAATTGTAAGTAATTTTTTGTTAAAGATGTTTTAATTGAATTATGTAATTATGGACTTTTGAGAGCAAAAACTAATAAGGTGAATTTTTCTATTTAGTCCCTTTATGACAATACAATACCTAAAATAAAATCTAAAATATTTACTTCAACAAAATATAATTTCATATTATTTAGATGGATAGGAACTAAAGTGGAAGGAAATATAAGGTTTATAAGATAAAATAAAGTTTGGCTAATAGAAGACCATATAAAAGAAGCATGTTTTATAGTGAGTCTCATCAAATGAAAATAAATTTTGGAAAAGTCTTGAATGAAGTGCTAATAGAAGTTTGCAAAATTAAGAAAATATTAAATATTATAAATAAAAGTTAGATGTTGTTACTCAAGAATCCTTAAAATGATCCATGATGATGATGTAAAAGAAAAATGTAACCTAAAATATTTATTGAATCTTGAGTAAAAGAAAAGAAAATGAACTTAGTGGAACATTGATATGAAAAGGCTTAGAAATTTAAAGTCAAAATGTGGAAAAAATGAATAGTCCTTAAATATTTTTATTTTTCAAAATCATAGGTGTTGCCTCCACTATAGAAGTCTGAGAGCAAATGCAAAAACAAATATATTGTTCCAAGAAGTGTTGCATCACTATAAATTATTCTTAGTTTAACATTGTCATTCAGTATTGGAAAAACACCATTAACATATAGCTCCAATTTCTATTAAAAATATACCTTATTCATATGTTAGTTACTACAAGACTAGGGTCGTTAGACAAGGAACAAAGATTTATTTATGACGTTCCAATTGACATTCTTGCAATTAATTGTTATAATGAACAACAAGATCAATAGCAATTTTCAGAGGTATTAAATCTACATGAAAAAGCATAATATATTTGATATTTTTACAAAATTAAAGATGGAAATGTTCCTAGAGAGTTCTATTATCCCATGAAAAATTAGTGGCAAACATCTAGAACACTAATATATATATATATGGATGCAAATTGAGCCCTTGGTGTAAAAGAGTGGTAACTCTTATATGTAAATGATCTCAAAACAAATTGTTCATAACTGCCATAAATGTTGCAAAAGCATTAATGAGTCCAAAGGGCATGACTAAATATTCATAGTGGCCAAAAACAATCTGAAATGTTGTCTTCAATTCATCTCCTTCCTTAATTTAAATTTGGTGATAGTTGTTTACTTGAATGATATACTCATCTATAAGATTGAGGAAGAACATGTCCACCTGCTATATAATATGCTTGATCGACTCAAGCAAAATGAGTTTTATTTGAATCTAAATAAAAGTTTCTTCTTTCAAGATTATGTTGAGTATCTTGGGCCCTCTAGAGGGATCACAATGGATGCTCATAAGGTTGAGGCCATGAGGACATGGTTAACTCCTCACAATCCACATGACATTTACTCATTTTTGGGCTTTACAAGGTTTGATCCTAGGTGTTAGGGAATTTTTTTTTATGGCATATCCTTAGTTTGTTTCATAAAAATGCTTTTTTTAAGTGGAATGAAATAGAAGCTTCTAGCTTTGCATAACTTAAGATGGTAGTGATGACAGTTCCTATCCTTATTTTTCTAAATTATGTAAAGTCCTTTATAGTGATGACAAATGCAAATGATGCTAGAGTTGGTGTTGTGCTTGTGCAAGACAATCATGTAATCACTTTTGAAAGCCACAAATTTTCAAGTGCTAATTCTCATTACTCAGTTTATGATAAAGAATTTCTTACCATGATTTATATTTTGCAAAAGTGGAAACAGAAATCCACACCAATCATAATGCACTAGAACATTACCTCACTGAGGTAGTTATGAATAAATAATAGGCTCGCTAGTTGGCTTTCTTTGCTAAATTTTGTTTTAAAATCATTTATATTCTTAGCAATAAGAATTTAGTGGCTAATGCACTAAGTTAGAGGGCACATACACACATATATTAATGTTATTTTGGTGGTTTTCATTAATTTTGCAGTGTCTTTTCCACATATGACTGATTATTATTTTAAGCTTATTGATGAGAGTTTTAAGCATGAGCAAATGTTCAAAGACTGAAATCTATTTGTATAAGAATTATTCTCTTTCTGAGTATTTGCTTTATTTCTATGATTGTTTTTGTGTTCTCTTGTGTAAGGATACTTGGACTATGCTTTTACTATGGCATGTTATTTGTAAACCGGTGCTGCAGGATATGTGACATTTCTTTATTGGTTTAGAACGAATATTTTAAGTGTAAAATTGGATATTCTCCTAGTGAAAACGCATATTCCCCATGTTAAATCGAATATTCTCCAGGTGAAAACTCATCAAATATTCCCTATAAATACTTGAAATATATTCCCCAGAATCTGATGCATTATGGGGTGTTCATGGCCATGCTTACACAGCCATCCAATGCAATCATAACATACCTAACATTCTTTCTTTGTGACTTAGATTTGGATTTTTGAAATTTTTTGACAAGCTCAGAATTTCTCAAATTCATGAACTTGCATAGTATTTGTCACGACTTTCACATTTCAGAAGCTCACAAATATTAGAAAACAAAAGTTCACTCATCTTCATTGGAGTTTTGTTTAAGGCTTATGTCTAAGAGTGTTCCATGTACGACTGTCCATGTATTGCGAATGGAATAGAAGCCTTAGAGTGTCTCTAAATTTAGTAGACAAATGCGAGCTCGAGATGCTCTCCTCTCAAGTTCCTATATAATTTTCTCAAATGCTTCACTTGCATTGCTGGCTATGGCAGCCAATTCCAATCCCTCCTCTCTTTCCAGTGATTACCAAAACGGTGGCATGAATTCCAGCTTACAGTTGATCAGAAACACGAGCAGCCTGGTGAATCTCTATGGCGAGTGCGGCTGCATGGGAGGGCTTTCGACCGGATGGATTGCCCCGACCTCGTCGCGTGGAATTCTCTCATTCTGGGCTATGCCGTGAATGGGCATGGCTCCATGCCGTGAATGGGCATGCGCTCCAGCTCTTCCTGCACATGGAATCGCGGGGCTTGCAAGGGAATTCTGTCACGTTTATTGGATTGCTCAAGGCCTGCGCGAGCCTCGCAGAGAAGGAGAATGGGAAGGTTTTAGAAGATCTAGAGCTCGTCGTGAATTTCTCTTCTCTTGACAGAGGAATGGCTCTTCACTCCCTTGCCACTGCAAGGGGAATCGACACAAACGCTTTGGTAGCTAGCAGCTTGGTGGAAATGTATGCTCGGTGTGGCAGCGTGGTGGATGCGTGGAAGGTTTTTCTTGGAGCTCCAAAGCGTGACGTAGTTCTATGGACTTCTTTGATGCAGGGGTCTTTTTTAGAGAATGGGCAGAGCGAGGTGGTGCTTGAGCTCTTCGTAGAGACGCAACGAGAAAGAAGTGGAGCAAATGCCAGAACCTTTGTTGCGGTGTTCCAGGCCATCACTTCTTTAGCAAAGAGGGAACGAGGAGAAGAAACAATCCATGGAAGGACAGTCTCTGGAAAGAGGTATGGCTTTTCACGCGCAAGCCTTGCGAATTACCAACCATCTCTTGGATATCTTTCTCCATAGCTGCTTGATCCAAATGTACGCGGCTTGTGGCAGCATGGGCGATGCTCTTGGAGTGTTTAGCACCATTTTCCAGCCAAATCAAGTCTGTTGGATGGCATTGATGCTCGGGTATGTTAAAAACAGTCAGGCCGAAACAGCGCTACATTTTTCCTTGCTAATGCAACTGGAGGGATGTTCTCCAGACGTCTGGACTCTCGTTTGCGAGCTCAAAGCTTGTGGAAGCTCGGTAGCCTTGAGGCTTGGCCGGATACTTCACGAAGAGATCACGAGCTTGGGGTTCCAGTTCCAGGGAGCCGTGATCTCTTCGTTGGTAGATTTCTACAGCAGATGTGGGAGCATGGACGAAGCGGAGCTGGTTTTCAACTCGGTCTCGAGGAAGGATGCTGTGAGTTGGAGCTCACTTATCGCGGGCTACAGCCGCTAGGGAGACAGCGATCGAGTGATCCAGCTCTTTGAGAAGATGTGTGACGAGGGTGTCAAGCCGGACGGTGTAACTTATGTCTCGGTGCTCGCGACTTGCAGCCTGGCTGGGATGATCGAGCAAGGCAAGAAGTTTTTCTAGGAGATGACGTCTATAGATCCGGGCATTGAGCACTACCACTACACGCTGGGACGAGCAAAGCAGCTCGAGGAAGCTCTGGAGATGGTGGAAGCTATGCCGTTCGAAGCCACAATGGTCACTTGGACGAGTTTGCTGGCTGCTTGCTCGAAGTGGAAGAATGGGAAAGTGGAGAAGATTGCTTGTGACAACATCCTCTCTCTCCTGCGGAAGATTTCTCGAGAGCTCATTACGCGGGTTTTTTCAAAAGAGATCACGTCCTTCTCAATGAATCGTCCGCGAGCTACATTGGATCGGGAAGCCTCTACAGCGATCATTTCTTGGACGATTTCTAGGGCGTGCTGGGAGTTGCCATTTATCGATCTGTATTGCCTGGACTATCGCATTGGCCATGATATGGCAGCAGCCGTGACCGCACTCCGAACGTCACCTCGTCAGATCGCGACAAGCATCGATCTTTAACACCTTGTCGATCTGATCTCCCTCCTCATGTGCAGATAATATTCTTGGCAGCTATAGCATGGAAGAAATATAAATAATTTTGAAATCCATTTATTTACTAAACTTGAAATCCACATCTTTGTGATTCTATTTTTCATGTTCTCATTTTAAATTGGTTATATATTAAAAGAAAATTCAAGTGATATTGAAGCTTTATATTAAGTCAAGCAGGAAATTAAATAATAAAATAAACACATTATATTTTATTTTTATTTTCTATAACAGAATATAAAATATCAAACACACACATACACACACTATAAAGATATTTTTTTTCCTTAATCTAGTGGATTATTCACTTTCACAACAACAAAGATAAGAATGAATTATTGCTTTTACAAAAATGAAAGTAATTGAATTATTTTGAGAAACCAATACTACACAGTAGTGATACAAGCACAACAATAAATATTTCATCTAAGATAAAATAAAATAATTTCAAAATATCATAAAGTGTGAGGGCCAAGTGTACGGTTACGATGCCGTATACTAATATTAGCGTAGTGGATTTTGGTAGCTGTCGGATTGGTTTCAATCCGGACCACTCGCTCCTGTATATAAGCTAGGGTTTTTGGGTTAATTGATATGCACATTTCTGTATTCCCTTTCCATATTCCAGGCACTCACATTGGTGGAGGTGAGGGGCAACTTTGATTGTCCCTGAGGAGTGCTTGGATTTGGGATTTTGGTTTAGATCTAGCTTTTGCATCGTTTAGATCTAGCTTTTTCCATTTCCTTTCTTTTGGTTTAGATCTAGCTTTTTGTGTTGTCTAGATCTACCATTTCCTTCTAGCTTTTTGTCATCTCTCTTCTTTTGCTCTTTCTTTTTCGCTCACCTTCATGGCAGATCTGCAATCTCCTCCTTTGACTCTAGAGCAGCAGTTGGTACAATTGCTTGATGCTATGCGCTTGCAATTGAACAACCAAACTCAGTTGATGGCGGCGTTCACGGCACGTGGTACAACTCCTCCTGCTCTTGGTGCTAATCCTCGCGTACGGCCGGAGTTCTTTCGCGGGAATCCTGGGGATGATGTGTACCATTGGTTCGATCACTTCACGGTGATTGCCACATATCATTCTTGGGATGATACTCGACGTTTGCGTGAGTTTCCCACGTGTCTCCAAGGGACGGTGTTGCAGTGGTACAATGGTTTGAGCGCAGCCACTCGTGGGGATTGGAGTGTTCTCCCGGACGTCTTCAAACGCGCCTTCGGCCATGCTGATGATTGTGATGATGCTTTCCAACAATTGCATCGTCTTCGCCAAAGGCCATCTGAGTCGGTGATGCAATTTGGCGTTCGTTTCCGAAGTCTTTTGCTTCGTGCGGAGCCAAATATGTCGGAGCGGATCAAGCTAGGAATGTTGTGGCCAGCACTTCGTCAAGATCTTGTCGGACTTGTGCATGCACTTGCTCCTGCCACCCTTGACGATGCTCTTCGCTTGGCACAACGTTATGAGACGTCGCCTCTTCCACTTCTCGCTGCACGTCCTTCCGCTCCCCTTCCTATGGGTGATGGTCCTGTTCCAATGGAGGTTGATGCTGCTGCTGCTCGAGTCCAAGGACAAGCGCGAGGACGTGGTCGTGGCCGTGATGTTCGCTGCTAGGCGTGTGATGAAGTTGGTCATACTTATCGGCGTTGCCGTCGTTTTCCGGATTGGCGACCTCCATTTCCTGGGTGGAGACCTTGGCGTCAGCAACGTCCCGTGGGTGCTGCTGCAGTGGAAGGTCTGGACACCGAGATGCATCCGGGAAACGAGGAGTCGCGCGAGTAATGGAGGGACCTTGCGCGAATAAATCAGTGACCCCTCCATCTTTCTTTCGGGAGTATCATCAAGGGGTTCACTCGGCACCGGTTCATCCCGTGTTTACTTTCCAAGCTCGTTTTTATAACAAGAGGTCTCCTATTATTCTCTCCGTGTTGGTTGATACAGGTTCGAGTTTATCTTCTATTGCTCGACCTGTTACCACACGTTGTCGTCTACACTTGCGTCGTGCGGCGGAACCAGTTTTCATTCTTTATGGCAACGGCCGTACACATGCATGTGCACGGGATGAGGTGGACCTGGTTGTGCATGTGGGCGATCTCGAGCTTGAGTTGCAGTCGTTGCGGGTGGTGCCGAGTCAAGCTTTTGACCTCATTCTTGGTATGGATTGGTTGCAGCGCAATCATGCCAAATGTGACTTTGAGGCTTCTCCCCCTTGTCTCATACTTCCTTATGTTTCATCCATTCCTCTCACTTCCATACCTCTTTGTCCCTCTACTTCTACCTCTGCCTCCATTACTTTTGTTCCCCCACTCTTTCCTTCTGTGTTTCCATCTTGTTCTGCTTTTCCCTTTTCCGATCCCTCCGACGATCTTTGTGTTGCAGCAGTTGACCGGCTCATGAAGGAGTATTCTGATCTCTTTGAATTTGACCTATCATCTGGGGCCAAGATTGCCACACGTCATCCGATTCCAACCGGGGATGCTCGTCCAATCAAGGTTCCTGTTCGTCGTCGGTCACCTAAGGAGATCAAGATTTTACGAGCCAACGTCAAGGAAATGCTGGAGAAGGGTGTTATTCGGAAGTCACGGAGTCCTTGGGCATGTGAACCTCATCTTGTGATGAAGCCTGATGGGAGTATTCGTTTCTGCATCGACTATCGCCCGTTAAACGAAGTGACGATCCCAGATGTGTATCCTCTTCCTCACACTACTGATCTCTTAGATTGTCTGGGGCGAAGTCGTTGGTTCACCAAGCTAGATCTTGCTTCTGGGTATTGGCAAGTACCGATGGCCGAAGAAGATATTCCTAAGACTGCTTTTCGTACACCATTTGGTTTGTACGAGTTCTTGGTGATGCCGTTTGGTTTGAACAATGCTCCCGCAACTTTCCAGCGGATGATGGACGAGGTTTTTTGCGATATGCCGGAAGTGACTGCTGACTTCATTGATGATGTTTTGATCCACTCGGAGGGGACGTGGGAGGAGCACGTTCGTGATGTTTGTAAAGTGTTGGATCGGCTACGTGATGTTGGTTTAAAGCTGAAGCGGTCAAAGTGCGTGTTTGGGTCCAAGGACACAACTTATCTTGGGTACCGTATTTCTCGTGAGGGTTTGCAAGTTGATCCTAACAAACTTGTGGCTGTTCTAAAGTTCCCTACTCCGAAATGTGTGAATGATGTGCAGCGCTTTTTGGGTAAAGTGCAGTATCTCGGTCGTTTTGTGGATCATCTTTCCGATCGCACTACACCATTGCGAGCGTTGCTGAAGTCATCAACGTCATCTTTCATCTGGTCTTCGGATTGTGAGCGGGCGTTCATGGATCTCAAAGAGCTATTGACGACTCCTCCGGTTTTGGCATATCCTGACTACACTCGACCTTTTATTTTGCGCGTGGATGCTTCTGACATTGGTCTTGGAGGTGTGTTGATGCAAGAGAGCTCGAGTGTGCCTGGTCAGCGCCATCCCATTGCATACATAAGCCGTACATTACAACCAGCGGAGATGAACTACTCCACGACGGAGAAGGAGTGTTTAGCAGCAGTCTAGGCTTTCGAGAAACTTCATGCATATCTACATGGTTCTCGGACATTACTTGAAGGTGACCATGCTGCTGTTACTTCATTATTGAAGCGGAAGAACCTGGTTGGTCGTACGGCTCGATGGGCTTTGAAGCTTCAGATATATGATTTCGATGTTGTTCATCGCCCAGGGAGTTCTATGGCTGATGCTGATGCCCTTTCTCGAGCTCCTCTTCCTTCTCCACTCACTTCTCATGTTTCTGACGAACCTGTTGTTCCAGCGTCTGTGGATTTTCTAGATGAGGATTCTGTGCCGTCGGCGGTTGCTGTCCTTGACGTTCAGTGTCCACAGGGCACAGAGCAAGATCTACCTTCTCTTGATGAGGTTCGCGAGGCTCAAAAGATTGAGCCGTGGATTTGAAGGCTTCGAGATGGGTTTGAGAATCCTGCATCACTTGCTGATGACTTGCCTTTCCGGCATTTACATTCTCAATATCAGCTTGAAGATGGCCTTCTTTATTTTGTGGGGACGGATCCTGATGATCATTTACGGTTGGTGGTGCCTTCGGTGTTTATTCCGCGGTTTCTCCATGCCTACCATGATTCTCCTGTTCTAGGTGGGCATATGGGACACCGTCGTGTCACCGAGAAGCTGCGCAGGTCTTTCTATTGGCCGGAGATGCGACGTGATATTATCCGGTATGTGCGTAGCTGCGTTTGGTGCCAAGCTCGTAATACTCCCCCTTGTGCTGCGGAAGGACGGTTGGAGTCAATTGCAGTTTCCTGTCCGTTTGAGTTGGTGGCGTTTGATCTTATGGGACCTTTTCCACGATCGACTGCTGGCAATGAGTATGTTATT